TTCGTTACGTTACGTTACTCCCCTCCCCCCCCTCCCCCCCCCCCCCCCCAACCCCCCCTGGTTCCTGTTTGTTTGTTTGTTTGCTTCTCTGTCTACTCCGGACAGTCTGTTTCTCTGTCGTCATAGAGCGTCTGACCCATGTATTCTTTTTACTCTTCACTCTTACCGTACATCTCTTCACTTAGCCTCATGCAAGAGAAACAACGGATTACTCGGGCTATCTTGTCGGCTAATTAACAAAGATGGCTTTCTTCAATACGCAGCAATACAGTTCTCGAGGTTTTCCAACTTGGACGGCGGTCGAAAAAGAGGCTCAGAATCCCAGAGCCCCCCTAAGAGGCGGTCCGATCGAGAGTGAGCCATCGTCCATCTCTTACCCCGTTGATATCTTGTCTTCATTCACATTTCTTCTTCGTCTATCTAGAGTGGGGGGCATCTAAGGAGTGAGCATGCCGAGTCTTGCTGCTGCCCTTTGGGAATGTGGATCCCCGCCTCCAATGCCGCACTGCCTGGACATGAGGACGGAATTGACCCGCCAGGCATGCTATTGCGAAGTGAGTTCGACACACCCACTAAGGACCAGGGCTGCAGCTAACATTCTAAGTCACTCACGCTAGTGACTAGGTCGATGGAACACCAAGCGTATGCTGAGGGTAGCTAAGCGCTACTGCCGAATAGCAATTCGGGACGGGGAGGCAGTCCCCTAAACTCCCACTACCTTCAGCTAACTTACGTGCTAGTCAAGTTCAGACCTCACTGTCAGGCCCCCTCGACTGCATACTAGTCTGATAAGCGACAGTTGGTACCAACCTCCTCGGGTCCTAGCAACCTCGACTACCCCACTGCCAAGCCATTCAGTTGAGTTCGTCCAGTTTGGCCTGCATGATTGACCGTCCCGCGGGTCCGCAACTTTGGCGAGCCTCTTACGTCTGAACGAAACTCATACTACCCAGTAGTGAGGGTCCACTCAACTGATTGTTGGATAAGAATAGCTAAGTAGCCATGTCAACGTTATACGAACAGACAAATCATGCTTTGGCATTGCGATGGTAAGAAAGGTCGACTATGAACCAGGCACGGTAATAGTCGGTCACGGCCGAGCCCGTCTGTGATCGACACCTCGAATGTCCAGGCGCTCGCTCAGACACATCTTCTGACACTTTCAGACCGCTCTGCACGGTAAACCTACCCCATTTTGACGGGCGCTCTTTCCCGCTGGCGGTTGTATCTCTTCCAGTGACAAGCTTAACACCTCTAAGCTGGTATACTTCGTGAGTATATCGTCTTCTCGTATAGGGCTCGGGCTCCTGAGGGGCCGGTCGTACATTGTCTTCTCATGGCTTTCTGTGTCCTCAGTATAGTATATCTCGTCAAATCACGTTGTGCTTTGTCTACCGCTAATTCTGTAGGAACGATCTCTCGAGGCTTACTATGAGCCCCTATTCGGAAAATGTTCCTGCCCCTGTCAGCAACCCTCCTCCAACACGAGGGGGATATTTTGTGATAATATTGCCCGGTTGCCGGGATAAGACGATCGACTGGGCGAGCTTGGTTCTTGTTCGTGTCATTGGTCAGAGAATGAGATTCCATACGGCTTCGAACATTCTACAAGCAAATCTGCATATTACACGGGGCACTGCTGCGCACCAAGTACGTCCTCCTGCAGCTGGTAGCTTATGAGCTACTGCACCGCTCGCATCTACTATGTACTATACAGATTACATGCCACAGGGCCACGAGGCCTATTATTTTCGCCCCCATGGCAGGGGTGCCATGCGCTTCAGCACGGCCACATGGCCTTGACTCTTGCTGCGGTTTCTGTTTCTAACAACAATCGGTATCGGTCCGGTCCCACCCTGGTCGTTTGTTCCTTGAGCGGCTGGTGCTCTGACATCAACGGCGTGTTCAACGATCGGTTTGCACTAAGCATGTTGTCTGGTTCTCCATCAAGCTGTCTCCAAGCCACGCTGCTAGCAGGCAGTGGCCCCGTCGGATGAGGAACCATCCCGCTTCTGCCATACTTCTGCACCGCCATGATTCGATCATTGCTTGCTACAAGGAACAATTCCGCCCCTCTGACGGTTACATTGGTCCTTGCATGATTGTCCCGGTCAAAGCCCTAAAGTCGAACTACTACCAATTATAGAATAAGCTGGAGGCTGGCCAGCTGATTCGCCGACCCTCCCTCACGTACCTTGCCGTCCGCATGCTTCCGGGAGTATGAAGAGAGTTTCATCTGCCTGCGCGTGTACATGGCACCCCTCTGATTCTGGGGGCGATTCTACGATGCTTCTGAACTCTGAGATGTGGATACCTCAGCCATGACGGCTGCGGAGTTCTGCCACCACCAAGCTCAGATATGTTGGCGAGGTAACATGCCACACGGATTAGATCGAATTTTACACGAGATTGTCAGCGAAGCTGCGCTTAGCGCCAGTAAGGCCAACCATGCTACTGTGTCTAATATGAGACATCTTCTAACTCAGGCATAGTGATATCAGAAATGTTTCCAATCAGAAATGCACATCATAAGGCAAGCAACAACAAGACAATAGCAACCAACGCGAACTTCCGCAAACCAACGTGTTGGTGCGGCGTTCGCCGCTCAACTGTGCGGACCTGCTACAGGCGCAATTTCAGGCACGACTATACCAACAGAGGTATTGTTCTAGACGTTTCGCACATCCTGCTTAAGCGGATGAGGTGCTTGAATCGTGATAGTGCCTCTCACCTGCATGATTCCTTCGATCTGCTGACCAGCCACAGGTGGCTCCCACTGTTGGGTCCAGGAACGCGCCTTCACCCTGGCTGCAGAGGGATATCTGAGACAGGTACCTTGATCAAAAAATGGGCGGATGAAACCTAGTGTTTCTGACAGGCTTAGTCCTGAAACTCCTCCCATTTGATCATCCTATCCCTCAAGTCGAGCTCCTCCCCATCCACCACAAACCTCCCGTCCCCACGATGGTGCACCATCCTCATCTGCCTCTTCCCGCCACCAACAGCACCGCAGGGCTCCTCTAGTTGCTGATTGCTCTGCCCATAATTCAAGTCGAGGTCTCTGTTCACCCATGCGCGGACAACCCGCAGTATCCACAAGTTGTACGTCGCCACCAACGCTCGATCATGAACCACACATTGGATATTGGCCATGATATCCTTCCCACCAACCAGTGGCGCATGGGCAGTCCCTTCCAGCTCCATGTAACTCTGCCCCTTTTCTTCCCCATCTTCAAGTTCTGGATCAGTCTCTGGCGGTAACGGCGATTCCGGTGGCTCCACAGGGATCATTTCGAATGCATCCCACTTATCCACCGTTTCGCCACTACAGTTGCCAATATCAACCGCCTGCTCCAGCAGCTCCGCAGCCGGTACTGCAAGCACGCATTGGCCGGTTCTTTTCAGGTTGTCAAAGCTTTTGTCCCACGGTCCAATACATGCGCCGATGAGTGTTGGTTCCTCGTGTTGGATCATCATGTGAAAGCCCATTGTCATGATATTGTGCGTCCGATCGGCTAGGGACCCGGTGGTAACGAGTACCACAGGCCCAGGCTCGAGGAGGCGATTGACTTTATGCGTGGGATAGGAGAGGAATCGGCTCCGATCATCGAAATGATCCTTTGCCTGCTCCTGCTCCTGTGCCTGATCCTGAATCTCCCGGCTCTTCTGCTTCTGATGCCATCGAGGCCTCTTGCTGGAACGGCGTGGGCTCAGACCTAGTGGTCCGGTTGGCTCCCTTTTTCCTGCACTTCGTTTTTCCCCTGATACTCGCTTCAGAGGCATTTGGTTAAGGTGGTGGGAAGGGTGTAGTTATAACTTTTGTAAGCTTGTAGACCTAGACCCCAGTTGAGAATTCCTGCCTAGGAGAGCATACGTGCAGGACAAGGACCTGACTTTGATCGCGTGTAGAAGATGGGGGTTGTGGACGCGTCACTTGTAAAAGAACAAAGAACGGCATTTCTAGAGTGACGTCGTCTCCGCATACTCGCCGGGGTCCCGTGACCTTCATTTCTTTTCGCCATAATTCTGAGAGTGTGCACACAAAGAGAATATTTTTGTCTTGTGCAGACATGATCATGCTCCTGGTTGTATAGATAAGCAAAACAAAGGGTGGTTTTGCACGAGCGAAGTGCTCGAAGGAAATACTGTATCCCCTTCCCTTCAGCATAATCTTCCATGTATACAGAAGATCTTGAACTGTAAACAATGACCAATTGCCCAAGGACGATCTTCAGCATGGCATTCCCTAGGACTGTGTACATACCAGAGTCCAGGTCACTCTTTCTGTATTAGATCGCCTGAGTACTGTACATCTCTAGCTGAAGAACAATTCATCCAGTTGTATGTTATTCACCCTCCCGCGCGATTCTCCAACATCTCCCCAATCCCATCGACCTCAACATATGCAACCCAGATACCAGTCCAGCTCAGTACTTCATTCTCTTCCTGCATGTGGTACATCCCCTCCTTGTTCTCTTTCGGTCGAGGTCAAAAATAAAGAGACCCTCGAGTGACCCGCATATGAACCCTTTGTATATATATATATATATATATAGCCTAAAACGTCCATCATAAGCATAATTGAGCCAACTGAACTTGCTTCGCAGTGAAATGCCGTACTCCAACTCGACTCCAAGCATCTTTCCCTTACAAAATACTATAGTACTGGAAAGTATAGACTTAGGAGGAGCTGTATCGCTGGCGAGGAGGGAGGTCAGAAGTGTCGGATATAGTCTTCACTCTCTCTCCCTATCTTTCTTTGCGTTTGCGTATGTGTATGTGTAGTATCTTCCCAAGGTTTCTCGGTGGGTACCTTGTAGAATGGTTATAAGGACATACATACCCTCAAGAGAAAGCACGGCACGGCGAAGGCGAACTTGGAAGAACAGGAAGGTATATCCAATGTATACTGGTGCCCAAATTTCCCCCTCTCAAGCTTCAAGACGTCGAGGGGGCAGGCAAGGTAAGTGGGGAATTATCTTCCTGTATGAATATATATATATACAGATTTCAAGGCAAGAGCGCGAGGCAGCGCCACCTGCGACGGGTAAACCATACTTGGCCGTGGAGAGTACTGTACCACCCTGCAAATGCAATGGTGATACTCATCCGAATCGAGAGAGAAAGGGTGGATTCGGGGAGGATTTAGATTACGGCAAACCCATTTCGGATCTACAACGGAGTCCAGGGGTAGGCATGCCGCTGGTTTCTGCTTGGAGGGGGAGTGGATGCGAGATGTATGGGATATGGTTGCTGAATTCTGATTGTACATATAGTCGTCTAGTTTCTAGCGCTTGTCTTTGTTTTAAGCTCCGCAGTAGGAGGCTGCTTTTGTGTATGGGTGGATTCAGGATGTGTTCGTCGATGAGCTCCGGTTATGCATGCACGTGACGGTAGGAGGTGGTGGAATTTGGGCAGGTATTGACCTATTCCGCTGGGTCGAGTGGTGGCTTGCGGTCAGTGGATGCCTTGGACGAGTCTTGCTTGAACGCAGATGGAGTCGGATTGTCAGCAATATCAGCTGAAGGAGGTGCGGAGTGGCGCTCACGGTGCTGTACACAACCCGTCCGTCAAACTGACCAAAGACTACGTCCCTACACCTATCAACGAGTGCATGGTATCCATTCATCCTCACATTAGTTACAGAGACCTAGCCTGTCCTGTCCTGTCCGTTTCATATTGAAACAGGAGCTACCGTTAATATTATCAACGATAACACATTGCAAAAGCATCGCAGCAGTTTTCAAGCATCACAAAAACAGAAGCTCGATGTCTTACGAGATGAAAAGAGGAAGCGGGAACTCAAGATCCGCCCAGAAAAGAGAGATGACTAACGTAAGATACAACCCATGCCAAACGCCCTGGTCAAAAGCAAGAACACAACAAAGAACCTTGATGGGCATGTCGGATGTGCCAACCCAAGGGAGCGTTGAACTTGGGTGACTGATCCCATTCCCTTCCAAGAATACATCGTAGTGGTGATTCAGGAGTAGAGGCCTTGGTCTCAACCGTGAGACAACGCTCTGATTGCTGAAGCGCATTCGGATCGATGCTGTGTCACCACCGACGACGTATCTCATATGGGATCTTCGTAGTCGAGGCTTGATGAAGATGTGGGATTCTGTCCGATAACATGCTCTGATATTGAGATCGCAAGGTCGCTAAATAGCCCGGCAAGAAAGGGGAATATCCAGAAGAAGAGGGTCTTTCACAGAAGAGGCGATATCAACTGCGAGAGGAGTGTCGGGTGGCAGGAGGAAAGGAAGAACGTGACTCGGATGGCGCAAGTACGAGACGACTTGCCAGGATGAATTGGAGACTCTTAGCGGCGGTCGGGGTTGGTTACCTGAAAACTAAGTTAGCCTCAAATCAAACATCTGTGTGATGGGACGGGTAAAGCCTACCTGCAGAATACGACGGGAGAAGTCTTGATCATCGTCGATACTGCCGTTGCTTTGCCGTTTCTGAGCCATAAAATCACCATCGAATCGGGAGTCGCTGCCCTGTGCCATGGGCTGTCCGTAACCGTCCACGCCAACACTGCGACGATATTGCGCTTCCACCGATTTACGGTTCTTGAAACGCCAGAGAAAGAACCCAGCACCGATGAGCGCACAGAGGCCGACCACCCCGACGACCACACCTGCCGCAATCGCAGCAGTGTTTGCACTTGAGCTTTTTGACTTCTCGGTTGGGGTAGCGCTTGCATTGGCGGCGTGGGTGGCAGGAGCTTCGGTAACATAGACTGTCTGCCCGCCGCTCGTGACAGCATGGACTGTGGGTGTCTGTGTTGTCGAAGTCGACGTCCCTTCGGTGCCCTTGCTGGAAGTACTGCTCGAGGAAGAGTAGTTATCCACGTCATCCTCAATACCTGTTAGATAGACCGAGTACGTGTTTGCACCGCCACCTAGACAAACGGTCAGCATTGAACACACATCGAAACTTTACCTAGGTGAAGGCAACATACACATGACCGAGGGCCAGCCAGCACACGACAGATTGCATTCGTCATCCGATACTTTGTCCGAAGACGCCGGTAGTTCATTTCCACAGAGACAGTCTTGTTTGTTGTGGAGCGCAAAGACGGCGTAGTTGTCCTTCAAGCATAACTTCTGGCAGTATCCATTACTTTGGTATGTGTACGATCCTTGATCTTCCAAGGGCGTTGAGCTCGAGTAGCATCCGTTGTAAACTTCGTCATAGGCAGCGGTCGTGGGCACATGGGCAGCCAGAAAGAGGACCGAGGCCACAAGAGCCGACCGCATGGTCAAGAGTTTCGTGAAGGAAGACATGATGAATGGAATAACGATGGCGCGGCCGATAGAGGTGACTGGACACCTGCTCCAGACACAACAGTCAAGATTGCTTGTTGATGCAAACGAAGGGAAAGGGACGACCTGCGTAACCCTTTTTCGGAGCGCTGGGGTGGATGTTTCGAAGGTCGGGGGAGTCTCGGCTTCCCGTCTTGCGCAAGATCTTGGGTACTTGTCACTGCGATTTGCGGCGGAAAGGTACAATGTGAGATGTTTTCGAACTGTCGAGAGTTGAACCCCGATGGGCGCAGAAAGAAGGGCTAGAGTGATGCAAGTGATGGAAAGAGTGTGTGATGTTCGCCTTGGCGGGGAAGAAAAGGGCCTTGAGGAGCGGGTTGTTTCAAGCACCCCTTTCTGTCGGACAGAGTTTAGTGGGCGACTGAACGGGTAGCTTAGACAGGGGAATCAGTCAGGGTCGAAAGTGCCCCAAATCAATAAACGAACGGATGGGTCCTTGATAGTCTTGAGGGGTGGGCAATTCGGGGGGAAGGGCGGAGATTTTGGGGAAACGGAAATTGGCGGAATAACGGCTATACGAAGGCGTCGAGATCTGAGTTGCTTGAGGGAAGCAACGCGTGACAGACAGCCGGTGGAGAAAATAGAAAGAAGTATGAAAAGTAGAAGAGAGAGACAAGTGAATGGGATGAAATGGTAATGATAGTAGTGGAGGCCCAAAAGAGCAAACGAGTGTCTAGGGTCAATAGCAAGCAAGCAAGTAGTAGCAGAAGGGGATAAAGGAAAGTGACGAGGCAGTTCAAGGACTCCTCTAGAGGAAGGAAACGAGTGTGATTGACCGGACTAGTCTAATAATTAGTTAGATTAGGTGGATAGGAATAGAATTGCTGCTTGCTTGCTGGGCGGCAAGATGGAATTGGGGGTGGTTAGACTAGGGGAAAGAGGGTCGAGGGTGGAAAAGGCCCTTAAGCGATGCTTTGACAGGCTAGTACTAAGTAAGAGGATACTAACTCAGTAGGGGGGGGGGACGGGGGAACAACGTACGTAGAAACAAAA